TAATAATAATAATAATAATAATAATAATAATAATAATAATAATAATAATAATAATAATAATAATAATAATAATAATAATAATAATAATAATAATATAGCTCGCTAGTATTTTATATAATTATTAATTATTAAATTAAAGCCTAGCTATATTTATTTAAGTAGCCTTTATTTAGCTACCCTTAGTACTTAAAAGAATTATTTATTTTTTATTATATAATTAGCCCTTTATATATTATTAATATTATATTTATAAATTAAATTAAGTATTCTAATAAATATAATATTATATAAATATTTTATTTATTAAAATAAATAAATATTTATATAATTAAATAATTCTTATAAATATATAAAGAATAATAATAATTATTATTATTTATATTTAAAATATAAAATAAAAAATCCTTATAAAATTATTTAATTTATTTTTATTATTATATTAAAAATAATATACTTTAGAAATTAATTTAATATATTAAAAGAATTATATTATTTTAAAATATTTATTAATATTTATTAACCATATTAATAATATAGAACGTAGAAGTAGTGGTATATATAAACTACTTACTTAGTATCTTAGACCTTCTATATTACAAACTAAACAGGACACTAGGTAGTGTTACAAAAGCATTCTGCGCGGGTCCTCGATGTACTCCTTGATCTTGACCAGGAACTGCACAGCCTCGCGCCCATCCAACAAACGGTGGTCATATGTCAACGCGAGGTACATCATTGGCCTGATCTCGACCTTCCCGTTCACGGCCACGGGTCGCTCCTTGATAGCATGCAAGCCTAGGACCGCGCTTTGAGGCAGGTTGATGATCGGCGTGCCCATCAAAGAGCCAAACACACCGCCGTTGCTGATTGTGAAAGTACCGCCTGCCATGTCTTCGATGGTCAGCTTGTTGTCGCGAGCCTGATTCAAGTTAGCACAGTGTCGCTCGCCTATGGACTCAGCGGGTGCTACCTTTTTCCCCATCTCTGCAATGGCTTCCTCGATGCCGACCATGTCCATGGATTCAGCATTACGCACGACAGGGGTCACAAGTCCCTTCTCAGTCGCAACCGCCACGCTGATGTCAACATAGTCCCGGTATACAATCGTATCACCGCCATTGGGCCCTTCAATGGATGCATTGATGGCAGGAAGATCGCGCATAGCCAGTACTGCTGCCTTGGAGAATGCACTCATAAAGCCCAGCTTTACGCCAGTCTTCTTCAGTATCTCATCCTTGTAAAGTTTGCGGAACTCCATGATGTTAGACATGTCAACCTCGTTGAATGTTGTCAACGACGCGGCCGTGTTCTGCGACTGCTTGAGCCTCTCGGCAATTCGAAGGCGCATTCGGTTCATCTTGACCTACAGAGAGTCAGTGCGAATCGTTTGACTTTCATGTAAACATACCCTTCTCTCCTCCCGACCACCTGGAGTGGCAGCTGTTTGAGGAGGAGCGCTTGGCTTTTCCTCGGGCTTCGTTTTCTTTGGTGACTGCTCCTTGGGCTTGCTTTCGTCGACTGCAGGCTTGGAGTTCTCCTTGGCCGCAGCCTCGGTTTGTTGTGACTTGTCGGCGGATTTAGAGGTTTCGGTCGCGCTTGTGTCTTTCGGCTTAGCATCCTTGCCCGATTGGTCGTCCTTCTTTGACCCTGAGTCCTTGTCTCCGCCGGATGGAGCGCCGCCTGGTTCCATGCGGATGATATCTTGTCCCACTGTCACGGTGTCTTCTTCCGCGACGAGAATCTCTTTGATGGTGCCAGCCTCAGGGGCATTGACGGCGACATCAATCTATGCAGTTATTAGCAGTGCCTGTTGGCGATTGCTATAGTTCCGCATACCTTGTCAGTCTCGATCGTGGCAAGCTCCTCGTCTTGCTCTACGAAATCCCCAACCCCTTTCGAGAACTGCTTCAATGTACCCTCCGATATCGACTCTGCCATCTGCGGCACTTGGACCATCTTATCGGCGTACGTTCGAACCGTCTGCATCATCGCAGGCAATGTGACCAACGGACTGCGCGCCTGGCGGGTACCAACACGCACCATCCGTGTCGCGGTGACAAGTCGTCTCGAAAGCATGATGGGCGTTTGTTTTGTTAAGCACAACTTTGAATGCACCGGCGATTGCTCTGCCAGATGAACTGAAAGGGGAGGGAGAACACGTATTCCACGGCGAATGAAAAAAAAAGGACAACTGCAAACTGGACACAAAGCTGGTCGGAAATGGGGAACGGGCAGTGACGGAGCTAGGATCTTTGCCGGTAAGAAAACAACCATGCGCGCCTAGTGAGAAGTACTGCCCAGGTATCTTTTGGCACATGCGTAACCTACGCAGTACCTCCGGTAGACTAAGTGACAAGAAGATCTCGGCTTCCGACGCGTTGCTCGCTGCTGATTGGCCAATGGGCTGTTCTTGTAGCCGGATCCTTCTGTCTCTGCTTATCACCATACCTTAGTACTTGTAAAAAAAAGATGTGTTGTCTTTCCTACCTGTAACTTATTGCTAGTAATAGTTAGACGTGTACGCGGCCGTCTGTCATGCAAACCTTCCCCCTGAATTCATTCGACATGACGTTCAGCTTCGGTCTCATTCGTGCACTTTGATAAGTAGAAGCTCATGCATGGACTGCTGTACTCCCAAGCACGCCATTTAGCTGGAAGGGAGGTGTTGCTTCTTTTGGCTACAGCATTATTTCAAGAAGGCATTCATTGCAGACCCATCTCACGCCTCTTTCGTACTTAGTCAAGAACTTTACAGACAATGCACTAAATCCCTTAAATATGATGAACAAACTGTACTTTCGTTGTGATCTTACCAGCATACAAGGCCAATTACAACAGTGCAGGTTAGGTTGCAGACAGTACCACTTCGTACGTAGTAGACTGGCTGATTGGCCATCATCGTTAGTCATCACAATAGGTCACCCTTGACTGCGTAACCCAAATTATGGTCAACATCGGTCAACTTCAGGAAACATCAGAGCTCTCTGCAATTCGTACCCGCGGCCACTCACCCATCAACAAAAGACGCGACCTGCCCTATTCGAGTTCGATATACTGAGAGCCATTGGGCGTTTCTCGCGAGAACGCCGCGTCAATTGCCTAGGCCGGGAAGCTGCCGCAACACGCACTTGCAAAATACCTGTAGCCTTCAATTCTCAGTCGACCCGACTAAGCCTTGTCGCCTGCCTAGAATCCGACTTTACCTGCACAACGAGAGGTTCTGTACATACTGAAGCAATGTCGACGCGAAGAGCTGCCTTGTAGGTCTCCCAATTGCAGAAAGTCTAGGACTCGAATGAGATCATCGCTAATCTCGCAACGTACAGGTCGCTTTATCGCCGCTCATTGAAGCTGGCCCTTGACTGGGCAGTCCATCGTCACATTTGGAGAGGACAGGCTTTGTATATCCGCTCGTTGTTCGAAGCCAATCGAGAGGTTACGGATCCAAGACACCAGCGCGTTGGTTTACCAAGCTACGAGAACCCTTGACAAACCATGCGACTAACGCCCAGTCGCAGGCGCTACTCTCGGAAACAGAAAAGCTGCTGGATAGCTGGAAACACCCCGACCCCTACATTGCACCAACAGCCCCCGGTGGTAAGCTATTACCTCTCGCGACGCTCGTGTCATTACGGACAGGATTGACACTGCATAGGTTCCAAGTACGAACGCAACCTCCCCTCCCCAGTACTCGATCGTATGTGTTCATCTACATGAATTGGCACTTTCCCCGGTCTCGAAACTAAAACTGCACAGCACCTACCGAACAAGGTTCCAAGAACCACCACTAAACTCTGTAAGCTACTGGCGAGGACACAGGCATATAGGGAGTGGTCGCATACCGCTCGACTTGTTGGAGAGATGCTTGGACAAATTAGATACAATGCGCAGGACCGTTAACAAGCTTTAAGATACAAATCAAGCTCCTGAGCCATTCTGTCCTGTATCAGTCGGAAACACTCGTCGCCTGCGCTTTCGTGCATGGACATAGAAATACAGGTTTTACATCGACACAATGCACTTGTGGCGGTCACATATTTCGATACCAGTGTTGGAAATTTGAGAATTCATTTCATGACCATTGCTGTCGCAATTATCGTACAGCCCATAACGCGCGTGAATGAAAGCAACCTGTGACCCTGAACCGTGACCCCGATGTCGTACCAACCCAAATGAAGCAGCGCAGAAAATCAGAAGAAGTCAGTGAGCAGTTTATAGCTCTTGGCTGGGACCCTTGCCGGCCTTGCCAGGTGTCTTCTTTGGCAGAAGGTCTTCTTTGCGTTAGCAGAGCACTTTCGGGCGTGACGGATCGACTCACTTTGGTGGATGTTGGGTAGCACACCACCCTGTGCGATGGTGACATGACCGAGGAGCTTGTTCAACTCCTCGTCGTTGCGGATGGCAAGCTGAAGATGACGGGGAATGATACGCGTCTTCTTGTTGTCGCGAGCTGCGTTACCAGCCAGCTCGAGAATTTCGGCAGCGAGGTACTCGAGCACAGCAGCCAGGTAGACGGGAGCGCCGGCGCCGACACGCTGGGCGTAGTTGCCCTTGCGCAGGAGACGGTGAACACGACCAACGGGGAACGCCAGACCAGCCTTGGACGAACGGCTAAGGTATGTCAGTCACATTGAATCGCCCGAATAGTGCCGGCATGGACTTACGACTGCGCGTTCTTGGAGCCAGAGGCCTTGCCACCAGATTTTCCGCCGCCAGTCATTTTGAAGGTCGTGAAGTAAGAAGTCGAAAAACTTGAAGACTTATGGAGTGGGCGTGAGAGCAGTGATCTCGACTGTTGATGAGTGCGTAGTTAATGGATAGTTGAGTGTCAATGTGTGAGGTTGGCGGGGGCACTTGTTGTTAAGTACTTTTCGGCGCGTCATATCGTGTGTCGCGAATCACTCGCCGCAGTAGAGCTTTGGCGCGTCGGGCGCTATGCCGATTTCGGATAATGAGTGTGTTCGCTCAAAACAACACATTGGCAACCAACGGCCCTTGCGGGGTCGTTGCTCCCATTGACTTTCCACAAATCATGCCCATTATTGACCAACCAAATTACGAGCACCATCTGCTTGCACCTCATACATTACCGCCCGTACCTTGCATGTGAGGCAGAGTCAGTGGCCAGCAGTCTGTCGTGAGATGTACATACGTAGCCTAATAGTAGTGCTAGTCTCGTCCTGTCAATACGTGGTAAACAGCTCTGTTTTCTGCTAATAGGTCTTCCGCTTCGGACGAGTATAGAGCTGCCCAGTCGATGCTCTACGGCGCAACCCGGCCGTAACTTGCCAGCTTTCCATGCACTTAGTACTTCATAAAAGCGCCTGGGAGGCTACAACGTTGTACAGTGTAGTGTCATATGAGTGCATGCCGTGAGGAATATTTACGGCTCTTTTGAGGCTTGTCCTGACGAGGTTGTGTTGCCATGTCTGTTAGATTCGCCCATTGCAAGTTTCAAATGTCACTCGTGGGATTTGTAAACCTTCACCCCGTCAACAATCGTGACGTGGAGATAGTTGCGTGAGCATTGTAAGGATAGTTCATTCATTCTGAAAACAGTATCGGTCACGATGGGAACGAGTATCATTTGCCTTGATGCTGCAGATAAGTCTTGCACTGTCATTAAACTGCACTCAATCGTCAGTTTCGAAATAGCTGATGGTGAAGCCTCGGGTAGGTAAACTCTTCCCAGCACTTGAGGGCCAGACTGAACAAAATCAGCGAATTAGAAATTCGCATTTGGGCGAGGACGGGATTCACGCGGGCTGGAAGGGGGGGGGCTGGGAGCTTTGCCTTCCAACACGATGCGTCGCGCAATCACACTAGAGCGAGTGGGGCTGTGAGCTAAGATTTGACCAACCACAGACATCAAAACATGATATCGCGCGGCGCGCGCTGTGAAGCAATCAGTAACTCGACGCCAGTAGAGCGCGTCAATCTACAAATACCAACCTGACCCCCAACGCTTCCACTTCCTTCGTCATCTACTTTCTCCCACCGCACACCATTTTCGCGACTCGTCGATACACATTACCAACTCACCCACAACTCATCAGGACTTTTCGGAATCGTTTCCATTTCACCAATTATTGTCAACCGCAGAAATGGCCCCCAAGGCAGCAGACAAGAAGCCCGCCAGCAAGGCCCCCGCCACTGCTAGCAAGGCTCCCGAGAAGAAGGATGCCGGCAAGAAGACCGCCGCATCTGGCGACAAGAAGAAGCGCACCAAGACCCGCAAGGAGACATACAGCTCCTACATCTACAAGGGTGAGCAAAAACGCGAATCACTTTTCCCCCATAAAGACCATTTTACTAACGGGTTACCAGTTCTCAAGCAGGTCCACCCCGACACCGGTATCTCCAACCGCGCCATGTCAATCCTGAACTCGTTCGTCAACGGTATGTACACACTGCGCCCACTCCAGAAGCACAACTGACAAGACCAGACATTTTCGAGCGCGTCGCCACCGAGGCATCCAAGCTCGCCGCATACAACAAGAAGTCCACCATCTCCTCCAGGGAAATCCAGACATCTGTGCGCCTGATCCTTCCCGGCGAGCTGGCCAAGCACGCTGTGTCTGAGGGTACCAAGGCCGTCACCAAGTACTCCTCCTCCACGAAATAAGCGTCTGCAGCTATTGTTTGTTTGGGCATTTGGATCTTGTGCAGCTTCAGCGCCACGGCGCAAGTGGCAAGCACAGGGTTGGGCGTGCAGCCCGCTGGGTTCTATTAACGCGTTACGGATGGTTTGCTTTTCTGGGGTCAATGATTTCCTGTCACGGTCAACGGGGTTTGCGGTTGTACACTATTCGAGGTTTGGGACTCGAAAAATGAGATTTTACACATGATATCCTCTAAATCACCTCGTTCTGTTGACAAACCCCATCTGTCTATTTACCCCAGACCCGCCTTGGACTTCTTCATGGTCTGCGATACGGGCTGGAGAATTCCCTTGTTTTCGAGCGTGCCGAGTGCAGTACCGGTGCTCCATCCCATCTTCTCGAGCATTGCGCGACCGCGATTTTCCACACCCAGCTCTGGTGCAGCGGCGCCTATGATTTCGCCCTCGTAGTAGCTTGCTGCCGCGTTGCTGGCTCCCGATGCCGCAGGTTGCTTCGCGCGTTTGCCTCTGGTATCCAGACGGGGAAGATAGCGTCGTGTGATGCGTCCGACCGCCTTGTTGAACGCAGGCTCCGAGAATTCTAATGTTCGGTTGGTCCTGTATAATGTCGGTCGGCGTTGACTAGCCTTGCCAGTCGATTTTGATTTGATGTTGAACTTGCTGGCGAGCTCATGCACAATTTTCCGCGCATTATTGTCCATGGGCGGGAGCGACAAGCTACAGAAGCGGTCAGTGTTTACAACCCATCTCGGCAGAGACTTGCAGATAGCCCAGGTTAAATGAACTTACCTCGAGCCGTCGCCGAGTAGAAATCCACGTAACTCTTCGGCCATTTGATCAATGCTCATACCGCTGGGATACTTCACTCGCAAGTCATCCTGCTTATGACCATTGGGGCCCAGCATACCCAGAGCTCGCAGCTCCTCTCGCTGTCGTTTCCGCTCGGCTTTCTTAAGGCGGTCACGTTTAAAGGCGAGCTGCAAAGTCTCCTCCAAGTCCGAATCAGATACGTCGAAGTCGATTCTCGCCCGTGCGCCTTTGCCTTTCTTCCTCCGTAGGCTTGGACGCTCCCAGTCCATGACGTCGAAGGAGTCGACCAACTGTTGTCTTCTCTTGCAGCTGCTATCGTCGCTATCGGATTCGGTCGATGAGCTGGTCGCAGGATCGGCCACCAATGCGTCATCTGAGTGCTGCCCAGCAAGTAACTGCGCCAAAGTTGCGTCGTCTATGGCAGCTTCACTTTCGACCTCGCTCTGCCGTTCATCGCCGTTCTGCGTTTTGAGTTGCATCGTCGGAGTGACGGTGGAAGCAGAGTTGTCACCTGCGTCTATTGCATGAAAGTTCGGGCCACCAATGTCTCGAACATTCCGAGAATCGGAGCCAAGCAGCGTTGTAAGCTCCCCATTTTCGCGCAAGTTGGCGATATAGTCCGCCAAGAGTGCATCTTCATCAGTCCTTTCGCGGTAAGGTTGATCGCGGCCGCGGTTCGCCCGACGTGAGAGGCTTCGGCGTCGTCGGCTGGAACCCTCTGGTTGTATGTCGCTCTCTACAGCCATGATTTCGGTGTACATTGGATCAAGTGTAATTGAAGGAGTTGCTGAAAACTCTTGCGATGCTTTTGTCGATGTCTCGCGGCCTTTGAAGAGGATAACCTCGTCTGCAGATCTGCCTTCAGATTCATCGGAGACAGAGGCGGCTTTGGCCGTCAAATCACCGCGAACATCGCTGGCACATTGGTGACCACGCTTGTGCGTGCGACTGACATCAAAGAAGAACAGCTCTGGTTGGTCAAGTTGTCTGCCACCATCCAAATCACGCTCCATCTCTTCTGGCCCTACAATGGCGTCTTCTCCAAGGTCGTCGGCGGCATCCTCTCCACAGTCGTCGTCGGCATCCTCTCCACAGTCGTCGTCGGCATCCCCTCCAAGGCCGTCGGCGGCATCCTCTCCACAGTCGTCGACGGCGTCTTCCGAGTGGGTTGGTGGCCCTGGCGGTAAAGCAACAGTCGACTCTTCGTCAATGATAGTCGCGCTTTCCGCAGGGTTTTCAGTGGTCTCATCCAATCGCCTAAGTGGCTCACTCGCACCGGAACTGACAAAAAGGACCGGCCTGGTACGTAGGCTGGTCGTACTGTCCCAATGACTTTGGCGGGTATTCCTTGCCTCATCGGCGAGGCTGAAAGCTGATAACAGAGAGTACGTATTAGTCTCGTGTGCGTGTCATGGGCGAGTGAAGGGCCTATAGCTTACCGTGCTCAAGTGTGTTCGTGCCTTTGGCGGTGATGAAGCTCGTTTCCTGCGTTGTCCCAGACTGGCCACGGCCGCGCCCCCCTCTTCCTCCTCTTGCTCCCCTTCCCCCTCTTGCTCCTCTTCCTCCACCTCCACCTCCTCTACCTCGAGAGCCTTGAGGGGCCCTCTTCCCGCCACGTGCCATCGGATGCTGCCACTTCACGCAGGGATTTGAAAGCTTTCCCAGGAGGGAGAATGCCAGTACAAGTCACCCTGTGGCAAGGACGCAGAGGCTAATACAACAGTCTTCGATCGCAAATGTGGTGTTACTGAAAAGCTTGCCTTGACAGCAGTTTTGAACGTTGTAAAAGGTGCTGAACAGAGCTTTCACGTGAATCGAAATACTCCAGTGAACGGCTGGACGAGCGCGAAGCGGCAAAAGTGGATGATCTCCGCCTGGGGCGTTATCAATCAGATGGTACGAGAAGCAATGCTGATTTGAAGAGTCGCGGTAGAAATGGACAGGCTCGTAGTAGTCGTATGAACCGATCGGGTCTGTAACCGCTTATTACAAGTGTGTTCATTTATGGTTGTCATCACCCATGATGCCAGTGCAATGGCACTCAAGGTGGGTCGGGTGACGGGTTGGTGACTTGGTGTTGGAATTTCGAAGGGGCGATGACGGGTATGCCACATATAAAAGCGGAGATGTTTGGGTGGACGACGTACGCAGAGACACTATTGCATGGGCATCATGATATTTGTCGATGAAAGCGTTTGGCAAAGTGAAAGTTCATACACGTGGAATTGCGTATCATACCTTTACCTTAGTAAGTATTCTGGTTAGTCCTAGACCGACGCTGGGACCTAGACTGACTGACTGGTCGGAGACCTGGGAGCGGGGCAACCAACCTTGGACGAACAATTGGGCGGCGGCCAGGTAGCTCCCCATCTTCCAGACCGCAGCCTGTAGTTAGCTAGGCCGACGGGTTGATCGTTACAACTTTCATCAGCTATCTCTTCCCCTCTTGTAGCTGACTGGATGTCCCCATCATCTTTTCGGTCTAGTATTTTGGGTTTGCAGCACAAAGCGGCGGCTGCATCGCTATGTCATGAGGGCGCTTGGTAAGGTCAGCTGGTGCCATATGCTTGACATGGATACTTACAGTGCACCCAAGTCAGCAACGACAATCTATGCATCCATCCGACGCAACACGCTCAGCTGCATCTCCCAACTCAGCATCCGGGATAATAGATCACCTCAGCGTTCGAGTCACCTTGCGCAAGGGCTGACCTTGTCTGCCCAACCGACAATAGCTATACCCGGACTTCCGACTGCCGCCTTGAACGCACCGGTAGCCTGGGTGCATCTGTTCAGCCCCGAAGTCACGACTGCGAACACGGCTTGGAACGCTTGCACAAAGCGCAGTCAGGACTTGCTCTGCTTGAACCTGTAGCTGCTTTCTTTCTAGCCCAGGCCTGTCCCAGTCCCTATAAAAGACGAGACCCTTGTGCCTATCACCGTCGTTGACAGTCATCGCTTCGTGTCGAGCGAGGAGATGGAGAACGCCTTGAACAAGGTCGACCTTCGGCCTTACAAGCGCATCGTTCAGATGTTCTGGGATCCCGAACCAACGAACGACACCACGGCTGACCTTCCCGCCTGGTGCTTAGGGAAGTCATATCAGCTCAGTCATCACAGCGGCGTTGGATCCAAGACTGGCGAGAAGAGGCTCTCGAGCTCCGACTGGAAATGCGCAGCCCGCGACGAAGAGCACGCAGCCGAGTCGGGGGCGAACGAGACTACCCCGGAGACACCATACGATTCCACACCGAGTAGCTTCTCATCAGCGCTAGCCTACGAGGATCCATCACAACTGGGCAGATGGCCTCAAGGTTTCATCGATGATTTCGAAGCCCGCTTTTGGATGACATACAGATCCGATTTCGTGCCCATACGCAGATCCGCCGACCCCAAAGCTCTTCACGCTATGTCGTTACCTATGCGGCTGAAAACGCAATTTGGCGGCGATCATACCGTGTTCACCAACGATACTGGATGGGGCTGTATGATCCGTTCTGGCCAAAGCCTCCTTGCTAATGCCTTAGGTCTACAGTGGTTTGGCCGAGGCAAGTTTCGATGGCGCGCACTGCAAAGGCCGTCTCAGCGCTAACCTAAAGGGACAGACTGGCGCCGGGGCTCACGCCCAGAAGATGAGAAGAAGCTGATACAAATGTTCGCGGACGATCCTAGAGCCCCATTCTCGCTGCATAAGTTCGTGGAGAAAGGTGCAAGTGTTTGCGGAAAATTTCCCGGGGAATGGTTCGGGCCTTCAGCGACTGCCCGCTGCATTAAGTGAGTGTGGCAAAGCGCATACTCAACGGCGAAAGGCTTGTTAACACTTTCAGGGAGCTGGTTGCGTCTGACGAAAGCCCCCTGCAAGTGTATTCTACAGCGGACGGGCACGACGTCTACGAGGACAGGTTTATGGAGGTCGCCAAACCCAATGGCCGGGATTTTCTGCCGACCCTTGTCCTCGTAGGGACCCGCCTGGGCATCGACACGATTACACCTGTGTACTGGGAGGCTTTGATAGCTGCCCTGCAAATGCCACAATCCGTGGGAATAGCTGGGTAGGCTCAGGTTTTGGTCATTAATGCAAGTGACTGGACGCTAACGTCTGTTACAGTGGAAGGCCATCCTCCGCACATTACTTCGCGGGCGCACAGGGCTCCTATCTCTTCTATTTGGACCCGCATCACACTCGTACAGCATTGCCATATCACGACAATGCGCAGGATTATACCGCGGAGGAGATTGACTCATGTCACACGAATCGTTTGCGACGCGTCCACGTACGCGAGATGGACCCAAGTATGTTGATTGCTTTTTTGATTCAATCGGAGGACGATTGGTTAGATTGGAGAAAGTGTGTGAAGCACGTGCAAGGCAAAGCTATCATCCACGTGGCGGATCGGAACCCAACTCTAGAAGGCAGTTACGTCTCGGAGGGAAGGCCGGGTGCTATAGATGAAGTGGAACCACTCAGTGACGACGAAGGTGATGCGTTGTCGTCTGATTCGAGATAGATGTGGTGAATCACATGGCTCGGTGTTTGCAACAGGGGATAGAACACCCAACTGTTCCACGTGTCTTGTGTGTAGGTATCTGGGGGCGCCACGTCCAGCACGGCCGCGCTTCCTGGAACGACTGTCCAAAAAACCCTGAAGCTATACCACGGCCATCGAGAGAAGCGACCCCGATCAACACCCGCGGCCTCCGATTGCGAAATGGATTCAGCCAGGTTGAGGTTCACAGGCCCTAGGTGCATCGCGCCGACATTCAGCGCCTTTTTTTGTACTTCTGTGCTTTTGGTACTGCTTGCATCGTGATAGGGGCAGCGTGATCCTCGGCTTTGATATGGTCGAAAAGTTTGGTTCTCGATTCGAATACATGGGCGCAAACTTGACAACGGTGCTAGTCGTTGCAGAAATAATTAGTTGACAAGTAGAGGTGAATAGTTGAAGGAAGAGGGGATCGGCTTACAAGTGTTTCGTCCTGCCGACGCTGGGCTGCCTTCTTCTCCCGCTTGGCTTTGGCTTTGCCCATCTTCTTGCCTGGAGTTGTGTCCATTTCCACCGGCTTTTCGTCTTGCTGCGAAAGAACTGATCGTATCTCAAGCCCCTGAACATCGGGCTGCAAGTCATTCAATCGATCCTCGATCTGACTCCGAGGCGCATATTCGTCGTCGCCAGATTCTTCCTTTTCGTCGTGACTGGGGATGGTGTCGTCAGGGTCCAAGTTCTCGACAACGTTATCTCTAGCGTTTTCAGTAAAGCTCGCATCATGGACGGCATCTCGCGGAACATTGATTCCACCAGCCGTAGCATCTGGCCGTACATCGTCGAGAGATAGACCGTCAACCTTGGATTCAATAGGTTCATGCTCTAGATCCAGAGCGGTGCCCTCTTTACGCATCTGCCACCGTAGTCTGTCAACAGCTTTGAGGTGCTTTTTGCTTCGCTCGTGGGACTGAAGCTGCTTCTCGCTCTTGAAGGTTTTGTCACACACCACGCACTCGAAGAACTCTTCTTCGGATGCATCCTCTGTGTCGTCACTCATGTCGCCATATGTGTCTCCATCCTCAACACCACTGTCATCCCGTGAGGTAATCCACTCCGGAGCTTTGTAGGCTGACATCTTCTCCTGATTCGCCGCGCGGGCTTTTGCAGCTTGAGCAGCCGAGGCTTCACGCATCGACTGCTGACGCTCGGAATCAGTTCGTGCGTTTGGTGCATAACGAGGATCCCGTTTGCGGACGAATGCAAGTAGGAAGCGCACCGCCTCGTTGAATTCACGGATCGCGTCGTCGCGGATTTTTTTGTTCTCCTTTTCCATAAGTCGACGAACGCGGCGATCAGGTGCGTCAGAAAGTCGATACTTGTCGAACCACGCAAAAGATTTCCGCGTCGAGAACCCAGACCAACCGGCGTAGAAGGCCTTGACGGAAGACTCATACTCATCCTCAGCCGAGCCAAATGATGGGAAGGTGACCATGCGCGGGTCTTCTCCTTGGTCCGCGGCCGCCTCCTCTTCCAGGGCAAGATGGGCAAATGTCTCTCGTAGAATCCCAAAGAAGCCAGAAGGCTCGTCATTGAAGGGAACGCTGGCATTGAATTTACTTATGAGCAAGTGGATGTCCTCAGTAGAGGTCAAGCGAACGTTGCGATACGTCGTCGGATAGCTTCCGTTGTCGGCATCCTCCGTTCCCCTGAGGATTGATTCTCTGTGGGAGTCATACCAAGCTCGTTCCTGCGGATCGGAGAGGACTTCGTACGCCGTCTGGACTTCGGCGAAACGCTGGGTCGCATATTCAACCCTTTCAAGATTGCGATCAGGATGTAACTCGAGTGCCTTGCGCCGATATGCTCTCTTGATTCTCCCTTGTGTCAACGCCCGGATCCACTGTGGCTGGGAGGATTCTGCTCAGGATCAATGCGAACTCACTCTTCCTCGGTCGCATCTCGTTCAATGCTCAGCAGCTCATAATAGCAAGTCCTCTCAGCGACCGTGGGTGCACTTGAAGGACCGGCGCTTGAATCCGATGATTGTTGTGCGCCCATGGCAATTTACACCGTATCCGCTTCACAGATGCTGTCCAGAAGCTATTTGGGCTATCTTGAATTATCAACTGGAATCGATGAGGTATGCCGCGTGACTCATGGTACTGGATTTTTGAATGCTGGTCTAGGGCGAGATGGGCGACGAAGACAGAAGGATACCTTACCCTACACTCAGCCAGCCACCCTGTCAAGTCCGAGTTCGCACAGAGCATTTCACCACAACAAGTGGGCTGGTCTCGCGACGTTGTCACTCAAGCGAAAGGCATGTTTTCCTTCGCATACTTGTACAAATCCATTTGCCCCTTGGCATGACCAAAAGCGGAAGAATGACACCTATTATCAATTCCTGTACGTAATTACGTGTCAACCGCCCTCTATTACGGAAATCAGCGACTCGTGACGTGCAGAGAAAAAACCTCGAGACACGGTGAGCATCCGCTCCCCCTCACTGGCCTGGCCTGGACTGGGTAGTGTAACGGTACCCATCTCTGATTGGCGAAGTTTGAACCTAAACTCCCCGCGTAGATTAGCGTCCTCCCAGAGGGAGCCTTGGTGGTGTGAACCTATGCCGAAAGCGCCGGGCCAGAAGAACACCTACCTAATAAACCGCAAGTGCTGGGAGTGTATAGGTACTAATTATTGTAGTTCGTGGAATCGTGGTGGCCTACCTCCAGGCTCCAGCTGGCAGCACATGGCGATATCAACTGCAGGGAAACCGGCACGCTCCACAAGCCACATCACTGCAGGCTTTCGCGGTCCGGCGCCGCAACCCCCTCAGTTGGTACCGGCTGCCCTGGGCAACCAACCTAATTATTGTTCCCGACGGCGCAGGATTTTTGTCTCTAATTACAAGCCTCTACAGCAGTCGTCGCTAGGTTAAATTGGCCCATTCCCCGATTCTGGAAACCGGCGTACAAGCCGTCTCGATGCATCCAATACCAGAGGGCTTTCACATCCGCCATTATGTTATGAAACGACCTCGCGTCGATCAACGTTGATTTACTTGGCACTGGACGTGCTTGGACGAAGAAGGCCTCCGCACAATGAAGTTTGCACGGGATTTCAGAGACACTTTGGCAAACCAGCGTTTGTGTTCCCAACAACCATGCTCTTGCACTGGAGTTTTAGTAACGCGGCTTGGGCAGACTTCCCTGTTCACTGGGTTGAACAGGCGATCCCGTACGGTCAATTGAAGAAATGCCTGAAAAAGGTACAGAGGGAGCTCCATGATCTCGGACTAGATCCCGAGACCCTCAAGTCGTTGACCGACCCGGAGAACACGTCGCCAGTTGCGCTGAATTATCGACTCAACAGTAAGTAGTTCGAACGCACTGGCTTCTACCCGCACAAATGCTGACAGAGGCCTCGTCAAACAGCTACTGGCGATGGTCACAGTGTGCGGCCAATACTGACTGTGGACGTGCACTTGAAAGACGGTGTTGTAGTGGATGCTTCTTTGACCTCGACTTCCCGTAAGTTCCTGGAGAAGCTAGCCGTGGAAGTAGACGCAGCACGACGTCGAGTCTCAAACGATGACCGAGACAAGGATGTGTCGGATGAACCTCACCTGCCGAGTCAGGTCACAGAAAACAATTCAGCCGCCGAGGAGGTTGCACAGGAGGTTGGCGGACACCATGAAACGATAGAGGTGCCCCTCATCTTCGACAACGAGTTCTTCGACATTCTGCAAAGCGATGTGAACAACATAGATGCATTACAGGCCAGCGAGCGGAGGAATATGACGAATGAGATCCAGGAGCTACGCCAGGAGATCGGTCAGGTTTCCCAGCCAAGTCGGTTCTCAAAAACCGACCTTGCTCGTTGGCGACAGATCTTTGAGCTCTATCTGGACGCGGAAGTCTTCTTTGCGACAAACGAGCAAGATCACGGGGCAAGATCCAGCCAAGTAGCTCTCAAGAAGCTACAGTGGTTTCAGCAGGAAGTGGAAACGAGGCAGCTTGCTCGGTTATTCAAGCTTCGGGCGTCGCAGCAGGCATTCGCAAGATTTGTGCAGCTGAACAGCAATCTCTTGAAGAATCTTCAATTTCAAGAGCTGAATCAGCTCGCCGTTTTGAAGATCTTGAAAAGTGAGTAGCACGTCCCTATCTTAGCCACGCTTTATGGTAACATGATTGTTCTTTTAGAATTTGACAAGAGGACGTCACTTGGTGTATCCAAGAGGTTCAGGCTCGCAGTGCAGCCGCACATGCTCATGACAGGAAGTATCGGAAAGGACGTTTGCGCTCAGTTGTCCCAAGACTTGGTCACTGTCGTTCCCCAACTGACCGACTACTTATGTCCAATCTGTTTCGCAGTGGCATACCGACCGGTCAGGCTAGATTGCCAGCACATATTTTGTATACGTTGTGTCGTCCACATCCAGCGCCGCAGAGAGAGATACTGCCCACTGTGCAGGGCAGATGTTGTAATGCAAGCATCAGGGTGTAAGTCAATCACGGTGCTAGATGATGAATGGTCCCCTTTTGACAGCTGTTGCAGGCAACCTTGACAACGAATTGGGGAGATACATGAGGAAGTATTTCGCAAAGGAGGTCAAGGAAAAGGAGCGTTCCGATGACATTGAGCGAGGGATGGAGGAGTATGGTCCGACATATAATCACAAGGAGTGCATCGTAATGTAGGTACCGCTCAATGCAAGTCAAAGCATCATCAGACTACCTCGGATATCCATGAGGTTCCTTATCGTTGCCCTCTCATGTTGAATTAGTGGCTATGTACACTACCTCAGGACGAGCCCCTTGCGGCTTGCAGGGCGGCATTGAATGTTTGCTGTAATGCCGCAGTGTCTTCCAATCCCACGCTGACCCGGACAAGATATGGGTCAACGCCAAATTTCTCCGCCCAGGGCAGCTCCTGGTAGTGTGCGAGTAGCACGTATGGAGAGCACAGCGTGAAGTTGGTCCCAAGACTCGGCCCTTTGGCAATATCCATTGCGTCGTAGAAAGCTTGGGCTTGTGTCTTCTGGTGGAAGACAATAGACAAAAGGCCACCATAGCCACCTTTCGGCACGCGAAAGGAGTCATAATGACATTTGGATGGGTTGTACTTGGGATAGAAAACATCTTTGACTGTGGGGTCAGCTCTGAGTGTCTCACAGATAGCCTCCGCGTTGGTGTTGATGCGGTCTATGCGCATTGAGAAATCCCGACTGTTTCTCTCCATGAATAGGACATCCTCCGGCCAGTAAGTGTCCTCAAAGTTTGCAGCCATGGCTTGCTTCAGATCACCGTAGTAGCGACCCTCCGGGTTTAGAATGGCGCAACCGCCCATGACGTTCGAGTCTCCCGAGAAGATCTTGGTGAGACTGCTCACAACGATGTCTGCTACCGGGAGGACGTTGACATTGGCAAATGTGCCGATCGTTTCGTCAATGACCAGGGCAAAGTCGAACTCGTCTGCAAGCCTTCGAATCCGGACAAGGTCGGGGCACTTCAACAGAGGATTCCCAGGAAATTCGCAGAAGAGGGCCAAGAATCGCTCACCGGCCCTGAGAGACTTTTCTATCTCATCCATATCATCATCTGAGCCATGGCCGTAGAACACGCAGCCGGGGCCGAACTTTTGCAGAATTTTCAGGGTATCAACGTAGGGAAACCCGAAGCTGATACTTTTGGCTGGCGTTCTTGCTGCGAGTAGCGCTTGATGGGCGTTGAAGATGGCATTCATTCCGCACGGGAACAAGTAGATGTCATCCTCCCGCAAGTTTTTCAGGCCTCGTGTGTTGTGGACCATTTCGTGTACATCGTTGCCTGCGGTGTCGACATCGCCCGCCACAGCCCCAACGATGCGCCTTCGGATAGCCGATTTGGCCCGCTCAACGAGTGACATGTCCAAGTTCCTGCCAAAACGTTCCTCGAGGAAGCGCGAACTCTCTTGAGCTTCAGTTACATTTTTACCAGCATCAGGCTCGATGCTTTGTGTCGTTGAGTTTGCCTTGGCCGGGACGCCGTCGAATGATCCAGGTCGAGTGTAACGACGCGGTCCCCTGAAAGGCCGTGCCGTGCCTGCACCATTACCATCAGGAGCCGCAGTCTTTGGTACCAGTAGTCCCTCTCTGAATAGTCCGTGACAAAATTCAGCGCGACGACTGGACACCCCATCGCCGGTATGCTGCCAATACTGTTTCGCTGCAGACTGAGCATCTGTAGGATACAGGACCGCCGATATGGTAGGCGACAGCTCACAGAGGATTGCGGCAGGCTTCTTGGTAAGGTCTAGACCGAAATCGAGCACGGTGATTCGCGAGACAATCTGCGGGTCGACGCGAGCCTGGATGAACTGTTGACAGCGTCTGGCTGATCGGACAGTTGGGAAGAGCATGCCTGAGAACCCGGATTGACCATGCTGGGCGACGATGTCTTCTGCGAGCCCTGTGATAGTCTTGTGAACATAGAACCTGGTCCGACGTCAACGCTTGTCATTTCATACGAGCTGGCGAAACTCATAGTTGGCCAGGTCATCATGTCTCACCGAGGGTAGCCGGTGGTCATCCTGCTAACCACCCAATCCTCGCCTTCCTCATATCCTACATTGGACTTCCATGTCGGGAGGGAGACACTCACAGCCTCGGTCGCGGTCAGCCAAACACTTCTATAACCACCTATTTATGGTTGCTTACATGTGCCGTATCAGGGGGTATCGACTCCCCAAGCTCGAACGACGGCATGCTGCCAGATGCGAGAATCAAGCTTCACTGGTCGAGCTGAGAGAGACCTGTGGCATCGACTCGGGTTCTTATGGGTTCCGTACTTTACGTACTGGCGATATAGTTGCTGATGGGCCTCCCACTCGGATTGCCCAACTAGACACGAATACTTTCGAGTTTGGTGCGAAATCGGGTAGGCTAAATGCGTCATGACGCCGAAAACCGGACCAAAAAGTCACTCACCCAGTGCCAGCGCCAGTGATGTTTGCAGTGGATCGAGGATTCAAAACGTCGGCAAATAAGAGTGTGAGTGTCGTCGTCCGCCGTGGGGCGTAGTAAATATTATGTGCATTGTGAAGCCTCAGTGCCTTGGTAGGTATTTTGCAATACAATGGTGTCTCTTCAACTATTTTAGTATCACCAGAGGAAGTCACGATGATTTCTGCGCTGATGCTGCGCGCAGCTGCCGAAGGCATCTTAGTAAGGTAGGTACTGGTATTGATTGACTGGAGCATACTGCATACTGGAAACCCAAAGGCCGTGATGTGATTCTTGTACGTATGCGAAAACATTCCGATGTCTAGAATAACACGATGCTCAATACCGCTGCTTGCGACTGCGATGGGCCTTGCTACCCACACAACTGATGCTATCGCTAGGGGCAAGGCTAACCATATCATCATCCCAGTCCGCATGACTACTACCGACACCGCTCATTGGAAGGGGTACATCCCAGGGATTCCAATTGGCGTGACTGCTTCCCACCATGCTTCGGGGCAGGGGCACATTTCTTGCTGAGACGCGGCTCGATCCCCGTCTTGGGCGCTCTTGTGATGCTTCGCGCAAGGTTGCAGCACTCACCTCGCTTCGTGGTGTCCTGTACTCCCGAGTAACAGCCTCGTAGTCAGGAAATTCGTGTCCCAGATCTCGCCCGTGTTCCCGATCCATTGGCCGGTCCCGGCTGCGCACAGTTGATGCCGAGTGGTGGCTTCGTGCCGACACAAAAGTTTCTTGATCCGATTCGTAATGCGGACGAAAAACTCTCGTTAGGGGAGGTCTTGAAACCGTGGATCCAGGAGCCCTTCTGGGCAGAGCGGCGACGCTTTGATAGTCCCTCTCATGGTCATAGGCCGGGTGGCGCACTCGCTCATGGGCAACCTCGCTTCGAGCCCGTCCGGTGCTATTACGGCGACCACTAACTCGCGAAGAAGGTCGACTACGACGAGCGCTTGCATCCTCAGCCATACGCGAAGGGGCGCGGCTTCGGCGATCGTGTGTATCTTTGGCCACACTTGAAGGAGGGCGGCTTCGACGGTCGTGTGTATCTTCGGCCACACTTGAAGGAGGGCGGCTTCGATACTCACGTGCGCCATCTGGTGCATGTGTCGAAACTCGGCTGCGGTGATCCCTTAAATCTCCGCCATTGTCAAGCGCTCTGGCCGTCGAAGGCGCTCTAGTGTAGGTGTGACTGGCCACAGAGGCTGGCAACGGCGGATACGTCAGGTAGCGAGGTTCGTGAACTGGTTCAACGCCATAGCTAACATTGTCATCATCCATAGCCTCATCATAACCGTCTCCCGAGGGTAGATGTCTGGCATCAGCTGTAGAGAAGCGACGCGGAATACTGGAGCCATCCAGATCTCTCTTCTCGTGTGGACGACGATGTGGATAGCGATGTGCAATGACTGGCTTCTCAGGAAATGTTGCCCGCCTTGGCAGGACTCGTTGCCGTTGAGGTTCATGCTCCTCGCTAGCGCTGGGATCCTGGTTCCCAGTCACGTAGCCGTATGTTAGAGCAGCGCCTGCGGCGGCTCCGAGCAATGCTCCCACCATAGTCGTGGTGTTGAAGGCGCCCCCGTAAGAAGACTCGCTCTGAGAAGCAGCAGCCTCCTCCTGTGAGGAGCGTGTGCTTGGACCCGAAGTATGATTGGCGCTGTGCGCCGGGGATACTTGCGGTGGCCTCATTGCCGTAGTTTGGGATCTGCTGTGCTCTGATGAAGCGTTGCTGGTAAACTGCGAACGCGCCCGGGACTGTATTGGGAAGTCTTGTTGTGAGATCTGGCGATCAAAAGGGTTTGTCCACTTGACGACCTCGGGAGCACCTGGTCGTGATGAGGTACCCGGGCACCAAGCTTCGAGTTTGTTGCCGTCTTGGTCAAAAACGATAGCTCTAACAGCTGTCTCCCCACCCTCCTGCACTGACCACGGGCCTTGAAGCGCCCGGTGTCTTTCGCCTGGTAGCTTCTCGAGCCCCCGATTGTCCCTGAACAAGGACCAGGATGGTGGCTCAGCCTTGAGCCACGACTTGTGAAACCTGGTCACGGCGGAGTTCGAAGGCACAGCAAGAGTGAGCGATGAGAGTCGAGGAGGCTTTAGCGGGTTCGACGTTTGGCGGATCTCGAAGACGGCAGCGTTGTCTACTCCCCCGAACCCCACCGCTGTCGGGAGAAGAGTCGAATCTGACTCGGATTTTGGTGCAATAGCCTTCAAACCAAGTGGTTGAACGACTGCGGAATAGAATGATGTTGCAGATGGTAAGTGAGACACCTCGATGTAGGGTGTCATGCCTTCTTGTACTGTTCACGATGTCGGATGAGGGCGGTCAGTGGTAAGAGCTTCAAGCAGGTAAGCAACTGAGGCAAAGCGAGTCAAAGAGAGTGATATGCATGCTCCGATGTCCAATGGTGGACATTAGGCACCCAGAGTGGCATTCTTACCGCCTTTACTCGAAGATCGTGATAGGTTGAGGAAGCTGTGGGCCTGATGCAGCTCCCATCTACGTGCGCTGTGAGGAGGTTGACGTTGCTGCAATATCCGGACAAGCCTTGTGAGCGGCCAAATGCCAATTAGAACCATGGCACCTAGCATCAGATACGTATCCTTCGCGCTTGCTGCTGCCTGCGCTCTGTTACGACGCCCATGCTCGTGGTAGTGGCCATAGCCTCACGTTGCCGTGGAAGAAGTATCATCCTGCAGCTTGCGACTCAGCAGGGTCATCTTGCTCTAAGGCACGATATGCAGGGCGGCCCATCTGTCCATCAACAAGACGGCCAGCGGAGCGCTTAGCAATGGCGGTCGGCTGCCGCGCTCATGTTTACGAAACGTGGCGGTATATTTCTGGTCCCTGCCTCAGGTCAGATTTCCCGCCCCAATGTCGATGCGATAACCCACTCGAACAGCGAATGGTGCAGAACAACCCGAGCGCAGGCTCGCCGATTGTTTTGATGAAATTAGGCACGATGAGACCTCGAAAGCGCAGATGTTGTTGGCGAGTGCTACTGCTGGGCATGAGTGGATATGCCAGGATAATTTAGTGCTCAATTGGTGGGCGAGGTCCGAACATCTCATTCTTCGTCAGCTACAGACGGCGCCGTCTGGTTTTATCATAACTTACTCAGAATGCCATAAACGACGATGGTTCGAAACCTGCTCTTCGAAGTGCACACTAAAGCAAACAATCACGATGGTAGTACCTAGTGGCAAAACGGCGTTCCATGTCACACCGGACACTCCTTCAAAAAACTCCTTGATCTGTTCGAATTTCGTACATTGTGACACATTCATACTCCAGGATGTTCAGCGAATGCGTCAAGTTTTGAACCCTTCAGAAGCAGCGTGGCAGCGATCAACGAACTGTAGAGGCAGGGGGACTGGTCAGATCATTCCGAGTCCATCTTTGTGTCTTCCTGCCCATGGCCATCTTGTCTCTCAAATTCCCAGAGGCCCTTCGCGCTCAGACCACATGGCGTCCGGATACTAAACCCACTTAGCGCTTCCAGAACTTCAGACAGACAACTGTCTCCTTGCCCACCGCTAGAAGGACCCGTTTGACCCATCCTGTATGATCAATTAGAGCACATCCCAAACGTCCTCAACGGCATGACAGAATTTGCTACAAGCCACACTCGCAGAGAGCGAGTATTGGCTAATGGAGATTTTCTCATCAACCATGGAGTCCGCAAATGTATCGGTACCCTTGGCCATGGCACCAACGAAGACGCAAATGCTCTCCTTTGGTTTCAGTGACTCGATGTAGTCGCGGCAACGAACGAGCTCCGAGTCAAAACTCAGCGTCACCTTTCGGCAGTTCGGAGGTAGGTGGTCGGTGATGGGGTTGGGAATGACGCGAAGAAGCTTCTCGTTCGAGTTGGTAGATCGTATCGATAGCCTGTGTAGGAGCTGCACCATGAGACCGGCGAACCGCTTGAACGTTCGTGGGATGCGGACTGATGGGGAAACTTCGATCAAGACGCCCTTGGCGGTGTGGATGTATATCTGCAGCAGACCAGCCTTGTTGATCGGGGAATCAAGCAATGTTAACAAGCACTATAGAGAAGGTCAGAAGTCAGCATGTTGAATGCAGACGGAGCAGGCTTGGAGCCATTGAGAGGTAGCACCTGATGGGTGATATCTGGCCGGGCATCACTAATGTCCCGATTCATCTTGCGAAGGACACCAATGTGCTCATCACTGTTGAGCAACGAGTACTTGTCTTCGCGATGCATGCCAGTGCGACTCGACCCTCCATGGGAGGCCTTGTACGTCTCGAGACTAGCATTTGACAAGACAACTATCAGGCGCTGTGTGTCCTTGTCGTTCGGAGCAATTGGAGTCTTTTGCTCAGCAGTAAGCTGCGGCAGCGATGGCGGAGGAAGCGACTGCGTCCCTACAGAGTCATCAAAGTTAGCGATCTTCTGCAAGCATGCCATGGCGCAGAACAGGGCCGATCCAATTTGTTTCGGTGTCCTAAGCGGCGCAAGACTGGGAAAAGAAGGGGAAGGGAGCTCACTGGGCCTCTTGACTCCCGCGCTTGAGGACATGCTCGCTGCGTGTCCGTCTGGTCACTTGACCTGTTTGGTTATGTGAGCGCGTGATGACTGTCGTGCGAACCGTCCGCTTGTACGGAGTAGGTCTGCAGCAAACTTGCAAAGCGTGATTGGTGCGTGGTTAGTGCGATTACAATCGTCGCCGGCTTTGTCGCCTCAGAATTTCAAAGCAATGGTGAGCAGTCGAAGTCCTAGCAGATACTACGCCGAAGTACGATTATAGATGGAGGTTTCCTGGTTAATTATGGGTTGCGGGGCACGCCTGTAAATTTTGCCAGGCCGAGTCTCGTGGGTTCGGCTGGAAAGTTTCGCGCCAATTCACTCGGAACCTTCCTACCGGGTATGCATGCCAGGCTAGTACCTTGGCGCAACCGCTTACATAATACAAACTCGCGTTGCTCAGCCGGGGAGGAACAAAGATTCATGTTCACCCAGGAGCCACGACGCCCGACTGTACCCAACGCAAGATCCAATCACCATGGCCACTCCCGTCGCCAAGGCTGCTTTGCGAGTGAAGCACGAGCTTCATGGTGTCGTGGTATCGGCTGGACTCATGGATAAAACGGCCAAGGTTCGCACTGGAGGGCAGGTGTGGAACAGCATCGTCAACAAGGTGAGTGCAACCTCTTTGATGCTATGCGCCAAGTTAACTAAAACTTTTCCCAGTGGTTCGCCGATCCGAAACACTACCTCGTTCACGATCCAAAGTCTTCTCTACGCACGGGCGATGTCGTATCCATTATGCCAGGATGGCCAACAGCGCAGCACAAACGGCACGTCGTCAAACGGATAATAGCTCCCTATGGCGTACCGATCAGTGAACGCCCACCCATACCGACCTTGCAGGAACTCATAGCCGAGAGGGAAGCCAAGAAGGCAGCCAAAGACGAGCGCCGTGCTTCTCGAAAAACAGAGCGGATACTGGCGAAGCAGGCCGAAAGAGTCGCCAAACGGGACGCGAACAACAATTCTGCGCAATAATTTCAATTCTTTCCCACAAGAATCTACTACCATACATGTGGCCCTCGCCCTGGAAGCCGCCTCATGTTCTCACATCATTTTCTCACATGATGATCTCGAGCAGCGGCAAATTTGCTGCAATAGAAGTAGCCGAAGAAAACAGACGGAAGGGTATTAGCTATGGAGGGTCGAGACTTTTTGAACAGCTAGATGGGGCTTTTGTACATTATGTATTCTATTGTACCGCGTTGTGCGACTGCGCGGGCTCGCACCCCCAGCTGGGTAGGCGTTAGGTAGTGATATCTCGACCATGGACTGTTCCGCAAAATGCAAGTGCTCAGCCACCACGCTCCCCGAACTCTTTGGCCCAATCCTCATACTCTTTCAGGCCTGCGTTGCTCACACTTGGTCTGATTGAGCCTAAACTGAGCTGAAAGTCTGACAAAGCAATGGGTCTTATGTCATCCATGGTCATGTGCAACAGAGCGTCGCCAAGCGAACGCAATGGTCCCATGGCTGCATCTTTTGCCAAAGCTGTGATATCTGAACCTGAGAAACCTGTACACAAGGCCTTAGTTATATGTAAGTCATTGAGGCCCGCGATACGTACCTTCTGTCAAGTCAACGAGCGTCGCTATATCATCTTCCGAAAGACCGTGCTTCTGTTGAGCAAGTAATGTCTTCAGCTGAGTCTCTCGCGTAGTTGACTCCGGGAGTGGAATGTACTGCCTCCTCACGAATCGTCGACGCGCCGCTTCGTCAATGGCCCATGGCAGGTTTGTGGCTGCTAGGACGAGGACCCGATTGGCATCGCCCCTTTCCTTGTCGCGATCCGTGGTTTCTCTACCAGCAGCAGCCCTTTGGAGGTCACTCCACTGGATGAGGAACTCGGTCTTGATCCTACGAGTAGCCTCGTGTTCACCAGAGCCGGACCTTTGCGACAGTAGGGAATCTATCTCGTCCACAAATATGATGCTTGGAGCAAGAACTTTTGCGAGTCCGAATAAAGCCCTGACGAGTTTTTCGGACTCGCCTAGAAACTTGCTTGTCAAGCTGCTCGCAGATATCGAGAAAAACGTCGACTTCGATTCGGTAGCAACAGCGCGTGCCAGCATCGTTTTTCCTGTTCCAGGCGGACCGAAAAGAAGCATGCCACGTGCGGGCTCCCGAAGTCCCATGAACAGGTCTGGCCGGAGGAAGGGATACACAACTGCCTCTCGGAGAGCATTTTTGGCAACGTCAAGTCCGGCAACATCGGTCCAGCGAACTTCGTCCCCCTGGACTATGATGTCATTCAAAATCTGCTTCGCAGCTGGTTCATCGACTCCTGGTGGGAGATTCTTCAGCAGCGTCTCTTTCTTCTTTTTCCATAGAAAGTCTTCTGTGACGCTCTCGTCCGCAGAAGAATCCTCTGGAGTTTCGTCGCGCGCGGCCGCCCTCGCTGGCCCAGGTTTGCTAGGGTTCCGGCGACTTAAATCTCTCCCGCCGTCGTCCTCGGAGCTACTGGTGGCCATGGCAGCTGGAGCTGTGGGCGTCACACGTGGACGAGCGCGGGGTCCAATTTCTGGATGATTGGCAGAAAGCTTTCGTGGTTTTGGCTTGACCCGAGGAACCACCTTCCTCTTGATAGTGTCCTCTGCCGGACTTGTAATGCTTCCTCGCGGAGCTGTGCTGCTGTTACCGTTGCTATTTCGCCTGGAAACATCGTGACTTCTTCTCGATGGGATTGGATCTGATCGTCCTATGCGAGTCGCGTTGTTCCGGGGACTAGGAGACGTTGCCGACGGTACTTCCTGGGCAGATGTCAAGGCACTAGACGCAGCGCTGACAGACAAGTGCGAAGGCTGCGCGAGCTCGTCAGAGTCCCGCCGGGCCGAAGACGAGTCCGCATCAGCCGCAAGGTCAATGGTGTTGACGGGAGTCACGAGCCGCCGGGAATGACTGTCCCATTGGCGCTGAGTTGTATTTGGCGCCTGGTCGAACGAGGACTGGCTGCGAAATTGAGATGATGATGGCGACTCGAAAATGGGTTTGGCCATCCGTGATGGCTTCTCGCGAGAGCTCAGAGAGCTCCATGCGAGTGTAGCTGCTTTACTGGGACCCTCAGCGGCGGGGTTTGGCGACTTGCGGCTACTTCTGGGCGCCTTCTCCCCAGGTTTGCCCGTTCGTAGGGTGGTGCGCATGGTGTACTTGTCCGGACTCAGAGCCCTGCCTGCACCATGCGGGCCTGCGGGTCGAGCAGGAGATCGTGATTTTGGCGTTGATGTCGATGGAGCCGCCAAATCCTCATTCTCGTATCCGTTCCCTGTAGTGTGGGCAGCTTCCAAGGACGTTCGACTCGAAGCAGATGGTCGATTTGGAAGAGATGGCCTAGAGAGCAGGGCCGGCCGTGATAGCTCCGAATATGTGACTGCAGGAATAGTTCCCTGTCCTATAGAACCTTTCCCAGGGTGATCGCTAATGTTGTTCGACGTCTGCTTCTTCGCACCGCTGCCACCAGGCTCTGTTGTTGGGCTGTCGCGTCTCGACACACGTAGCGCTTCGAGCAGATCGATCCTTTCTTTGCATTGTAATTCCAGCTGCTTCAGCGCTTCAATGAGGGCCTTCTCGGTATCGCTGCGAGGGATGTACGTGGGGGTGATCTTGTTTGCGTTATGCTCGTAAATCTGATCGAGAGCTCCTCTCCAATGGCGCATCGCCTCTATTTCGTTGCCCTGGAATCGTTAGACATCTGTCCGCAAGTGAAAGCAGTCTGCTGGGCCACAGCATCGTGGTAGCCCATCTGGCCGAGCAAACGAACCTGGCTTTCATGATACACCGCCGTGGAGCAGCTTAAGTAGCTGTCATCGTATGTCTTCTGCAGTACCGCCAACGTCTTGCTGCGAGACATTTCAGGGCCAGGCGTGGTTCGGGAACGCCGCGATCATAGCAGACGTATGTTTTCAGTGTTGGCAGATGATGTACGATGGTATGATGAATCGCTGTCTCTGCAACTGATTCGATGGCGATAGGTCCTTCTGTAGGAGAAGCAGACGAAGGCTGGCGGTAGCGTAAAGCGGCGGAGGAGTGGCACGCAGAAGGGACGACGAGATGATTCCCGACGAATGTTGGAGTTAGGTTCGAAGCGGTTGGTCGCCGCTAATGATGGCAGTGCGCTGACGACCTGCAACAGCACGCCGAAAGCGGGTCTTTCAAACATCAAGAGTAGCTATTTACTACATAACGTAGGTCGTAGTCACGGTCAGATTGAACCAGAGAGATGTTCCATCAGTGTCTCCCTGCTCTCAAATTTTGATAATACCAAAAATTTGGCTCGTTGAATACTGTATTATGAGCCACGTCACTGAACCGCAAACCATGCGATCTTTGCGAGGCGCGGATAGGGCATCATGAATGACGTAGCGCCTTCCAATTCCAGAGAGGTTGGACTACGTAGCAGTACTCAGAACGTAACCTACTAACTTACAGTGTACCAGGTACATTAAGGTAGTTCTTGGGCATTCATCAGCCAACGAATTGTAGTTATGGAAATGGGTAAACATACTAAGTACATACTAAGTATTCATAGCTCACCCTCTGATTGTTGTTTGAATCTACTCCTTGAGCACCCAAGAATGTCTACGTGCTTTGCTATGTACTGATTTGTCCCTCAGTAGCGACACCGCGACTAGTGAGCGGCACTCGTGATGCAATCGGCTTCGCTCTTCGAGTGCTCTTCACTCGCAGTGTGCCCTTGATGGAGGCTTGATCAAAGTGCGTTCGAAAACAGAAACATGTTGCGCGCGTCACGACAGAAGAACACTCAGTTCTGCGGTAGTTCGTGGTAGTGCCAAGCGAAGAGGTCCGGGCTGATCTTCTTCCCGCCCACCCATACTGTCCTTGTCCGCCTTATCAATCGCCGCTTCCAGCTGTTCAAATTGACGACAGAAGTCCTCAGCTGCATCTTGTGTGATCTGGCGTGCTAGAGTTGAATCTCGCAGATGTCGCACCCTCTCCAGACTATCCATCCATGCGGAGGGTAAGAAATCATCCAGGCGTTGGCTGGCCTCGCGCAACTGGGCTGGGTCCATACTAGGTTTTGATTCTTTCGCCTCGCCCAGAAAAGCATCAAGGATAGCATCAAGGCCCGAAGCGTCGCGGAGAAACTGTAGTTGGTTCCCAGTGAGGTCCTCAGCCACCTTATCCATCGCTTCGTGGATATTGTTCGCCCTTGCCTCTGTGAAATCAAACCCGTCTAGCGTCGACAATGCGAGTAGGTAGCAGTTGATGAGGAAAATTGAGGAATTGAGTTTTGGCATAGAGCGAGCCATGTTCTCGCATCCGGACATGAAAGGATCAAAGGCTTCAGCCAACAGCGGATCGAACCCGCTCTTTCTGTCCCCGGGTGTCGCTAGAGACGAATCGTAAGAATGTATACAGGCGTCCAGCTGTTTCAAACATTCATGTAAAAACGCCGGGGGTTCGAGGTTTGAGGGAGTTTGCTGGAACTGCCCATGTAAAGTTGCAATGTGCTCTCGGACGAGGGCCTTGAACTGGCGGAACGCTTCTGTTTGCAAGCTGCTCATAGTGTCCACGAGCGTCGATGCAGAGCCCAAAAGCTTCTCGAATGTTATTCGGTAGAAGCCCACTAGATTTGACAGTTTGTATGCTACAATCGTCTCCTCATTGCCCTGGATGACCTGCTCAATTCTCTGACGAAGAACTCGGGCAGCACCAGAGATGTCTCTGTCGATGAGATCCTCGAGTGCTCTCAACGCATTGTAATCGGCGGATTGATCGTCATCATCGGCTACTAGCCGCCAGACTTCAGCATCGCGCCCGGTTTTCAGGCCTCTGGCGAGTTCTTCGCCCTCCGAGACGAATAGTACTTCCAGCGCCTCATGTTCACTGACAGCAGCCGAGTGTATCCAGGCTAGCATGTCGCCCACGTAACGCAAAGGATCATGTGCGACCATGTCAATCGGTTTTGCTGAACGATCGGTGGAACGGGAAGGTGTTCCAACTAGAGCTGAATGAAACGCATCTGTCAGGATTCTCTCTCGGGCTTCGGCGAAGAACGCTATGCAATTTTGGAACAGCGTTGGCTTTTCTGCAAGAACCCTCAAGGAGCGCCTGATGGACGGATTCATCTGTGGGTTTTCGAGATTCAGGGTCTTGAACTCACGCTGCACCGATTTGTACAGCTTTTGATAGCCAAGATCTATGCGCTTGGAAGTCTGATCCATGAGCTCCAAGCCCAACGCCTGGCTCTCGAAACCCAACAGCACGTGGCAATCGTCACGGATCTTTTTTGCCTTCCTCAGTGCTGCAAAGTAACTGTCATCCACCGGCTCACTGGTCACCGTTAACGAGGCGACCTCGTCGTCGGACAGAGAGAAATGCGTTGTGAAGGTATCGAGCAACACTCGTTTTTTCCGGAGCTGCTCTTGCTGCTGTATGAGTGACGAAGCCTCGCGTAGGGCTGGCTGCGTCTCGACTTGCGCAGCCGCAACGCTTCGCTTGACGGTCTCAAACCGTGAGTTCAACTTATCCACTGTGCCTTTGATGCGCTGGAGTTGCTGCAAGAAGGCGTCAGCCTGATCCAAGACACATTGACTGACTCGTTACCTCGGAAACCTTGCCAAACTCACGGATGATTTCGGCGTTGCTGTCGATAACTTCCTTCTGCAAGTCCAAGCGCACTTGTCGTCTTGATTCTGGCTCATTGATGACCTTGCGCTCATCGAGCAGTGCCAAGGCATCCCTGAACTCTGTGTCCGAGTACGATTTCGATAGGACCGACGTGATTTTGGCCACGAGAGGTGAAGGTGCCTTGGGGCCATTCAAAGCCGTTGGTGCCAACATGGAGGCGCTGCTGGAAGACATGATTATAGCTATTATAACCGGGCTGCTTTCGGACTAGAATCGTAGAACTCCCGCTTTCATCCCAATATTTCTTTTAGTCTTGTGTATTGTGGCATCGATGATCACACCGTGCCAGTCGCTAACTGGGGATTGAGGTCAAATTGCTAGCGCGTTCATTGAACGGCTTGCGCCCCGAGTTAGGCCGTGTTCACGGTGTTCACGACGCAAGTCACATTGACGTCTGCGGCTGGTACTGCAAGTATGCAAGTAGGCATGCGACAATCAGTTGATGAAGTTTGTATAAGTGCAGAGTACTACTGTAGTTGTGTAACCAGCGCGGGTGGAGGCTGGTACTGGCTGTGCTTGGTGTTTGGCAGAATCGCCCACCGCTTACCCGTGGTGATTGCCAGATGGTGGCTTGAGAGTGTCCACCTCAACTCAACCGCGCTACGGCTTAATTCGCAGTCGGACTGCAGGGACTGGACCCAGGTCTCCACATTCTCGTCATCACGAAGCTGGCTGGTGTCACTTGAGTCTAAGCTGGTCACTGGACCTTAATACCACGCGACTGCTCCCGCGGCCGTTCTTGTTCATTAACCCAGCTGATGCGACCGAATGATCAAGTCGAACTTCTCGGAGTTTCCAACCACACCAGGCCGAGTGAACAACATGGGTTGATCTTGAAGTTCTCGCACTCTGGTCACAACGAACACCAAACAACTCTAGGCAACCTCGCTGTCGGATCGACGATCGTCTGTGAGCCGAAGCCGACAATAGATCGCGACCGCTATCAAACCACCGCAGTCTTATAGCGATGTCAGAGACTTGAGAATCGAAAGTTCCATCGCATATCGCAATGACTTCCCGTATCTTCGACCGATTCATTCCTTCACCAAGAGGAACACAATCATTCTACGAACAGCTTCGCGCCCGAGATGATAGCGAAGACGAAGAGAACGATATAGAGCAAGGGGCGGGCCTTGATGTTGATGAAGAGAATCTGCGACATCGCCTTGACGACTTTCATACAGATGATGTCGGAGTCGACGGCAGCCGAGTCACCGTTGCTAGCACGGCCCACGGTAATGCTTTGGGTACAGACCTAGCAGATGCTCCTATGAATCCTAAGTGGAAGTCTCGGGAGGACGACATTGACAACGACGTGCCGGCATCCCTGCTGGTAGAACATACTGAGCCCGGGAGGCCAACTCCGTTACGCGACCTAGATCGACCGCAGCACATTGGCAATAACCCTGGCCAAGGCCAACGACCTCGCACGCGCGCTCGTGCCCCGGCATGGCCAACACAACCGACGCCCGCTCGATTAGCCGGTCGCGGACGCTCGGGCAACGGTCGCCCGAAGTCACTTCTCGTAGGCAAAACGACCGGCGGACCGAGAGAGGAAGCACTGTGGCGGTGGGCTAATACTACGAACCTCGACACATTCATGCGCGACGTGTACGACTACTTTGAGGGTGGAGGCTTCTGGGGCATACTGTGCTCTAATGGCCTATGGTTGCTGTAAGTCGGCTTGAACCCCCTCGTAAGAAACAAACGGGCTAAAGGACACAGCGAGACACTCTTCGTAGCGGTACTTCTGACGTTTTTGACGCAGTGCTTGGACTATGGCAAACTGCCACACAGCAAATCTCTTGATCAAGTCATGGTCCAACAATGCACTCGACACATGTCTGGCTCTTGGAGCCTAGCAATCTGGCTGTACTCGTTCTTCTTTATTTGGAAAATCGTGCAGTACTTCTTGGAAATCAGGCGCCTACGACACATACGTCGATTCTACATCTACCTGCTAGAGATCCCAGAACAAGACATGCAGACTGTGTCTTGGCAAGACATTGTAGCTCGCGTCATGACACTGAGGGACGAAAATCCGAAAACGGCGGTCAATATGCCCCAGGCGCTTCGTCGTTTCATTGGGAGTCAATCAAAGGAACGGCTTGACGCTCATGATATTGCCAATCGTTTGATGCGCAAGGAGAACTACCTCATCGCGTTGATCAACAAAGATGTTCTTGACCTATCTCTACCGCTGCCTTTTCTACGCGGACGACAAATGTTTTCCAAAACCATGGAATGGAATCTGCAGTTCTGTGTCCTAGACATGGCATTCAACGATCTGGGTCAGGTACAACAGGACTTTCTTCGTGCCGATCGCCGCGGAATCCTGAGCCAGAAGCTTCGGCAACGGTTCTTATTTGCGGGTTGCCTCAACTTGCTTTTTGCTCCAATGGTCCTCGCATATGTGATTATTGTCTATTTCTTCACTTACTACAACGTAAGTCTGCACTACCGGGTGCCCCTCTGTGTCACTCTGTATACTGACGGCATCTAGGAATACCAAAAGGACCCAAAATTAGCAGCAGCGCGCAAGTATTCAAGGCTGGCCGAGTGGAAGTTCCGTGAATTCAACGAGCTGCCTCATATCTTCTACGAAAGGCTGAACATGTCGATACCGTTTGCCACGCGCTATGTGGACCAATTTCCGAAAAGAATGACAGAAGATATAGCGAAAACGGTCGCGTTCATCTCCGGAGCGTTAACCGCTGTTTTGGCGGTACTGACTGTGTTCGACTCGGAGCTCTTTCTCGGCTTTGAGATCACTAAGGACAGGACGGTCCTCTTCTATCTCGGTACCTTTGGAGCCATCTGGGCCATGACACGCGGCATGATAACCGAAGAAACCAATGTCTTCAATCCTGAATATGCCATGCGAAACGTGGCCGAGTACACCCACTACATGCCTGAGCACTGGAAGTCTCGGCTGCACAGTTATGAAGTCAAGCAGGAATTCGCCCAGCTGTACAAGATGAAGTTCGTCATCTTCCTCGAAGAGGTCATGGGCATCGTCACGACATCTTTGCTGCTGCTGTACACGCTCCCCAAGTGTAGCGATCAGATTGTCGACTTCTTCAGAGAGTTCACAGTTCATGTGGACGGTCTAGGCTATGTGTGCTCGTTCGCCGTGTTCGATTTCAAAAAGGGGGTGGACACGGGCAACAGAGCCCGTGACCAGGACGTCCGCGAGGACTATTACTCAACTAAGCATGGAAAGATGGCGGCATCCTACTTTGGGTTCATTGACAACTATGTCATCAATCCCAAAACAGGTATACCCGGTCATATCCCGCCCGGTGGACGGCAGCAATTCCATCCCCCACCCGCATTTCCTGGTCTGAACTCGCCTACCCTCGCGACGGACGCACACGACGCGCATATGCACCGGTCAGATGTAGGGAGACGACGGTCGCGCAATCCGGAGGGTGCGGTAACCCGTATGGCACCGCCTTTGGCGTCGCCAATGGCTAGCATGTTGCTCGATCCTCACCACCAACCTCAGGGAGTCATTGGAGGGGGCAGGAGCCTACATCGATCCAGACACCCGTGGATGGCGGCACGAGAAGAAAGCCAGATTATTGAGGAGGATTCCCAGGGTATGGACGAGAGCAGGGCCATGGGAACCGACCATGAAGCCTTTGGTGGCGCTGACGACCTTGGGGTGTCAGCGTGGCAGACTTCGCCGGGACGTGGACTCAGCCGCGATAACAGCGCGGCCAACGCAGATGAGCCTGCTGCCGGCGTCATTGGTATGATAAAGGAACTTCGACATACGCAAAGGGGTAGGAGAGGCGCAGGTGTAGTTTAGGCAATGGAAAAGGTCACACTCCCGCTGTGAACTTTGCGTAGGACACTCGCGCTCAAGATAGTTTTGCGACACCAGCAATCCGCAGGTTGCTGCTGCGCTGTTGTGCCGCCTTCTTTACGAATACTGAAGTCGCGGGTGAATGCGCTACCACAAGACATTGGCGTGTGAACGCAAAAAGAGGCGGAGAAAAGCCTCCATGCCGACATCGTCGTCGTCATCGACAGCTAACTTGGAGTCTGCTGCGACGAGCGGACGAGGATGGGATTGCCGGAACACCAATTACTGGTGAACGAACCATTGCGTGAAAGGATCACCATGCTATATTGTTCAAGGAATGGCGACAATTTTACTTACAACAGCAGAAAGGCCTTGTTATCACTCAGTGAGGGCTTTTGCGAAATTGCCGACGTGCTCCGGAGTCCCAATCGTTAGCCTGAACGGAATTCCCGAGGTGCACCCCTGCCGCCTCCAACTACAGCTCTCCCGCCTCTTTCGTTATCAGATCCAAAAACTGGCCTTGCCTTGCCCGTGCTATTTTCTACGAACTCCATCCGCCGGTCTCTCTCCACCCTCGACACTCGAAACGCGCGACTCTGCCCCTTGCGCCGTCACTATTACATTGGGAAACGCTCTCGCGCATTGTATCTTTGGAGTCTCCACGCCGTCGCCCCATCGTCTCACCAAAAACGCTCGCCGGTCCACGGAGCCATCACTTTTTCGACGCTTGCTCTGAGCTGCCTCGACCACCGCTCCTCCTGCGCGAATCGCGAACCTGAACAGTCAGCTAAGCTGGCTGCCATCGAACCAAAAGACTCCGGCGGTTTTTCTCCCGCTGTGGCCGCAATGGCCCAGCCTACGGCCGAGCCTGTGGAGGACTATGAGTGAGTCGCCCGCAAGATGTCGCTGCGCTCGCGCCAAGTCGCGAAGCACTCCGTCTTACCACGTCACCCAGCAAGTCCAAGCTGACGCATATGTTCACTCTAGTTATGAAGCTCTTCCACCCAACTTCTCCTTGCTGCAGAACATGGCAGCAGGAGCGTTCGCTGGCATCGCTGTACGTGCCTCGACCTCGATCGCCTACCGGCCAACCTCGATCGGACTGGAATCTGACAGGCGTAGGAACACACGGCTATGTATCCCATTGATGCAGTCAAGGTCAGTGCCCCCGAGGCTTCCACAGCTTGCGCACGAAAACTGACGGCTTCTTTTCGGTGGTCCAGACGCGAATGCAGATCCTCAACCCGACCGCAACACCGGCCTACACTGGCGTCATGCGCAGTACCTACCAAATAGCATCTAGCGAAGGTCTTTTCAGTCTTTGGAGAGGTATGTCCAGCGTCATCGTAGGCGCTGGGCCTGCTCACGCTGTCTACTTTGCGACATACGAGGCCGTCAAGCATGCGATGGGCGGCAACCAGGCCGGCGTGCACCATCCTCTTGCTGCTGGTAGGATCCACTCGTCCCACCCCCTGAAGATGCCAAAGCTGATTTCGGAATAGCTTCCAGCGGTGCTGCGGCCACGATTGCCAGTGATGCGTTCATGAACCCATTCGATGGTGAGTTGGAATACGACTAGCCCTGACAGACGGTCTGCTAAGGACATGCAACTCTAGTGATCAAACAGCGCATGCAGATCCAGAACTCGAAGAAGATGTACAAGTCCATGGTCGACTGCGCCAGATATGTGTACAAGAATGAGGGCCTCGGCGCTTTCTACGTATCATACCCCACGACCTTGTCCATGACGGTCCCTTTCACCGCCCTGCAATTTCTCGCCTACGAGTCCATCTCAACTATGATGAACCCCACGAAACAGTACGATCCTTTGACACATTGCGCCGCCGGCGCCGTGGCTGGAGGTTTCGCTGCTGGCCTCACGACGCCCATGGATGTCATCAAGACAATGCTACAAACCAGGGGAACGTCCTCGGATCCCCAGGTGAGAAACGTCAACGGCTTCATGGGCGGCTGCCGGCTCTTGCTCCAGCGCGAGGGCTTCAGGGGCTTCTTCAAGGGTGTGAAGCCTCGGATAATCACAACGATGCCCAGCACGGCGATCTGCTGGTCAGCTTATGAGTTTTGCAAGTAAGTCGCGACCCTACACCTGCCCTCTCGTGCTCACTGACTCCTGTGTAGGGCCTACTTCATCAAGCTTAATAGCACGAGCTCGTAATGTACATCATCGACAAAGAATGTGTTGGCCGATCGCAGAGCAAGACATCGTGGAGGACGACATGCAAACGATCGAGCTCCTTTCTAGCGAGGTCCGAAGGCCCGTTGACGCATCATCACGCGCCGGGCCGGACTTGAACCTGGATATCATTGTATATACACCCGTCGCAATGCGGTTGCGATCATAACATGAATCATCGGCTGACGGACAGTCTGGGAATGTAACGGTATCTGGAGTTCATTGAGCTGCAAAATCTAGACTTGTTTCAACGTTGCCTTTATTTCTCTGCTTCGGCAGATTGACCAATATGCATGGTAGTACTGTCCAGGTTGTATTATTTCGCAAAACCGCTATGTTCAAAAGCCAAACTGCTGACCGTCAAATTGAAACTGACCAAAGGGATTCCCGCCGCCCTGCTTGCCCGCCCCCCCTGTGTTAAACTTGAAGCTTGTCTTTCGTTGCCCACCTCCTGGGCCGAATCCGCCACCTCCGAAGTTGAAAGGCGAGCCTTCGAATGGGTTACGACCTGAGCCGGACTCGTGTGAATTCGGATCATCACCAGCATCAAACCGTGCCCTCAACTCGGGGTTGCTGAGAACCTCGTATGCTTCATTGATCGACGTCATCTTCTTCTCGGCCTCTTCCTTGGTCACGCCCTGCTTGACAGCCTTGTCCGGGTGGTACTTCTTGGAAGCCTTGCGATATGCGGACTTGATCTGTCGCTCGTCCGCGTCGTGTGGCACCTCGAGGACTTTGTAGTAGTCCTTCGTCTTGCTCCGCTTCAGAGCGACGGTGGCCTTTTGAAGTACCGGCTGGATCTTGTCCCGCATCTGGGGGTGTTTGTCGAGCGCATCCTGAAGAGTACGCACTGATGCTTCGTAGTCCTCTTTCTTCATCTGCGCTTTGCCTCGGTGTAACAAACCCCAGAAGGAATCTGGGTTCAACTCAAGGACCTCATCGCAGTATTTAGAGACATCTTTGTGGTTGGACTTGATGCGACGTTAGTGACACCGCCATACAAGCACATGCAGACTATGTAGGCTTACCTCTGAGTAGGCCTGACAAGTCATTTCAGCAACCTTCTCGTACAGGATAGATTTGGTAGCGGACCGAATGCTGCCATCCTTTCTCAGCTCTTCTAGCTGCACTTTGACATCGGTAAGCAGCCCGGATTCATCTGCTGTCCCAACCAAGCTTCGGCCTGCGGTCGTGGTCTGTCCTCTCTCCAATTGCCCGGTGACCTTCTTGAACTTCTTGCTGATAGCCTTCTCGGAGTTGAAGATCTTTTTGCACACCTTGGACTCGGGATCAGAATGCAAACATTTCCTGATCTGTTCCATGCCCTTGTCCATCTCACCGAGCGCATAGAATGACGTTGCGGAGATGACGATGTGTGGCTCCGTGTCGCCCGGCCGCATGTTTAGCAGGTGTCTCAAGTCCTGCATAGCTTCATCCAGATCTCCTCGCTCGAACCGGCACTTTGCCCGCACTTCACGCAGGTGCGGTGCACGTCCCGCGACCAATATCGCATTGCTGGCATGTGTCGCACAGTCATCCCACTGAGAAGCGGCGAGGGCCGCCTCAGCCAACTGTGCGGCGTTTTCGGCCTCTTGCAGCTCGAGAACATCCGGAGAGTCTGCGGCTTTGTTGGCAGCAGCGTACTCGGCCCGCGCGCCTGCCCAGTCGGCCGACTTGGCCTTGATCTTCGCAAGCTGTGTGTGCGCGCCCTCGAAACCGGGCTGAAGCGAGAGCACTTTGTTGAAATCGTCGGTCGCCTGGTTCGTCTTGCCTAAGGACAGGTATGTCGCACCGCGCTTGAAGAAGGTGAGGTAGTTGGAAGGGTCGCGGGCGATCGCAGCGTCGTAGTAGGTCAAGGCTTCGTTCGTTTGGCCACTGCTCAGACGGCTCTGCGCGGTAGTGAGGAGTGCCGATACAGGCATATCACCCGGGATATCGGGCTGGACAAAGGCAGCGCCGGTAGCCAGAAGGCTAGCAGCCACGGCAAGTGTACAAAGGCCACGAACCATGGTGATGAACCGGCGCAATGGAATGCCAAAGGCCGAATATGCAAGTGGGAGACAACTGTTCAAGTGTTGACGTGGGGCGCACCGGAGTTCACCAAGTGACGGCGTGCGTGCGTTCGCAGTGTCGCCGGCGACAACGGCTAGGAAAGTAAGACAAAGAATTGAGCGAGAGTCGCTGCCACGAACTAGAGCGAAGTCCAGGTGGGATTATGTGAAATGTACTGCATGGATGAGGAATAGAGGCCAGGCTGTTGGAAAAGGCTAAGTTGGGTCTCAACGGATTTGGCTTTGCTGTCCTTTCAGCGACCGGAGGCACCGCCCGGATTTGGCAAAGGTGACCTGTGTCCTGGTCACCCTGTACCAGAGAGACACCCCGACGACAGGGGTCCATCCTCAAGGCTCAACCTGACACGCCCCTTTCTTCAGCCGGTCTTTCACCCATCCCGCTGACTTAACTAGCCACTCCGTCAGACAGGGAGCACCTTCGGATCGCATCCATTCGATTCCTAGCCTGCCTTGTCTGACGTTGCCTTGCCCTGGGTACGGTACTACCCACGGACTGCTGGTCAGACGGAGCGATGGCACATCATCACCGCCATCTCTCTGAAGACACTGCAATCTTCTCCCCATCAGTTGCCAGAGTCGCGGCATCCAATGCACGGGATTGGTTCTATGTCGATTCCTGGCTATCTTCCAAGCTTGGTGGGCGCGCCGTCCCTCAGTTCGAGCGAAACAAGGACACTCTCAGAGCTTTGTTAGCCTTGGCCTCCTTCAATGAAGCGGCCGACGAGGAGCGCCAGCTGGTAGCGCGTGCAGAGAGCGAGGCACTGGCCCAGCTCGAGCTCGCCAGAGGGAGTCAAGAGGCAGGATGTTTTCGAGAAGCCCTCCTCGACGCCATGGAGGACGAGCTTCCTCGCGAGGGCCAGGTCGCACTCGAATCACTAGCCCAGATGGCTGTGCAAGCGGGCATCGCAGCCCCGGAACCCAGGGACCTCGGCCAAAATATGGTCCATTTGCAGCAAACCACTTTCGCCATGGGGCAGATGAAACTGCGTGTCCAAACCTTGCAGCGCCATATTGAGCAGAGCGGTCAACAAATACGGGACTTCCTTGATGTCCTGGAAAGAGACGAGTATCAGCCTGCGCCTGGTTTGGCCAAGCAAAACATTGAGCTGCAACGAAAAGCCAAGATCATGTCCGCCCAGCTACCCGACATGGAGGAGCGTGCCGCAGCGCTTGCTTCGTCTGTAGCGACTCGTGGGCCCAGCATCGATGTCGTTGCTGAGGAAGAGCAGGCTTATATGGAACTGCTCGCAAGAAAGAGACTGCTCGACACGCAAATCGCCAAGTTCGAGGGGCTGTCCACCGACCCTGACACTGCTCGCTCAGACCTAGAAGCTCTGCGGAATGAGCTGCATGCGGCCAATGCCCATCGAGACGAGATGTTCGAAGGCCTTGTGGAGCGTGAGAGTCCGGTGAAGCGCAGGCCTCGATGACATTGCATCAATTATCAACAATCGCCAATGGCAGCACAAGCTTCATGTGGTACTCGGGTATCAATGGCATAAAGGGCCAGCTAATACACGTCTTTGACTGTCTAATTCAACTATCAATTACGCCTATTCTTACCCGCGACCGCGCCGCCTAGCCTCCCGAACTGTCTTCCCAGCCCGGACTTCTTGACTGGTGCCGGAGCCGGGGGAGCCGGCGTTGGGTCCTTGGGAGGCAGCGGTGGCGCGTCGACAGGCACAGGCCGTGCATCTTTGCCCTTGTGGTCAGCAGGCCCATCTCCTATACGGAGATCGCTGACGCCCATCAGCATTCCGTCGCTTTCATTCATCAAGCTGGATGCTCTTCGAGCTCGCTCTTGCACGTTGCGGAACTTGTCGAGCAGCTCGACCCAGCGAATGCCACTCTCTTCACGACCCTTGAGCCTGTTTGGCCGGTCATAACTCGAGGCATTTGATGTCGATGCCGTGCTAGGTGCTAGTCAGTATAGATGTCCCTAGCGTGACCTTGCTGTATCCCTGGTAATCTCACCTCTTCGGCGCTACGTGCAAATACCCAATAGAGCTGACGCTATTCAGGCGGTTTTTGAGGGCAGCAAAGGCCGATGATTGCGGTAGTAGCATGAGGATTCCATACATGCATTTGTACAGATAGGGGTATTTTTCAGGCTCGAGCAGTTGTAGTCGAAGGTCTAGAATTGACAATGAGCTTGGCTGTGCGCAATGTGTGTATCACATGACTTACAGGTAAATACCGGGGATTCGATCAGCTGCACTAGCTTGTCGACTTGAATGAGGAGGTTGACAGTCATGTCGAGCTCCCCACTGGTTGGTGTGAGCAATTGAGGATCCCTCTGTTTCGGTATTGGACTTACAAAATCTGGAGCAGGTGATATGCCTGTTCGTAGGCCTGCGCAAGAAGGCAGAGCGAGAATGTAGCAACGGCGTTATAGCACCATGCCCTGAAAAGATGCACAAAGAGTGTCTGGCCATCCTAAGAAAAGTGTCAGAATAGGCGCACAAGGAAGAGACCACCACACTCAGGACATACCTTGCTATCCAAGTTGCGCAGCCGCTTCCGCATGTCTGACAGCTGAGGGGCTGTGATGAGGTTGTTGTTCAGATTCTGCACCATGATGCTTGCAAACTCCATATCGTCTTCCCGCTCCAAGATCTCGGCCATGGTCCTGTAAATCCTGTCCGGACCCAGGTTAATGGAGAGTTGTCGAATCACCAGGTTTCCACGGGCTTCCAGGAGCTTTCGGTCCGTAGCGAACAGCTGTAGTAGATTCATCATGAAGGACGCGAAGTGGGAGTCCTCACTGGTCCGTGAGATTTGAGACATGAGCTGCAAGTCCTTGGTAACGACTGCATCTGACGGATCGGACAACGTTTTCAACAAGGCTGAGAAGATCCCGTCCCCATTGGAGAGTACCTTGGCAGGCGCTTTGCGATGAAGCATAATGAGCCATGTCATGGCAGCTACCCGCGTAGCTTCGTGGTCGTTGAGGAAGAGCAGGGTGAGCGAGCCCACGGCCGCCCCATAGTCCAAGTCGGTCTGCTGTTGCGAGGTGTTGATCCCCGTGGGCGTTGACATTGAGCGACCCTGTTGAGGAACCGGGGCAGGACCAGGCACTTCCAGGTCCCTTGAACTTGTGAGAGAAGCCCGATTGCTGTTGCCTCCTTCAGCCTTCTCACCCGACAGTAGCAGCCTGGAGGTAGACTGCGCTTGTACCTGCCCTTGTGACACTGCCGGTTGATTGTTGAATGTCGGCTCATCGGCTAGAGACACCACATAATCCATCAAGGCGCCATTAACTCTTGTTGCAGCTTGGTGAATAATCTCATTCGGACTTGCCATAGCAGGAAGCATGTGGGCGAGGATCTTTGGTGTGAAGGGTAGGACCTCCTCTGGACAGATGTCCAGGAAGTCTACAATCCATCGGAGAGACTCCAACAAGCAATCCTCCTCTGCAACAAGTCAGCAAAAGTCGTCTGGCAGAACACGGAATGACGCACCAAGAGGCGAGTCCAGCGACGATGTCAGGATTTCCAGAATCTCCTTGTAGTTGATTTCCACGTCTTGTCCGGGGATCCAGTCCTCGTCCAAGTCATCCTGGTCGTCCTCATCTCCAATGTCAGAGTGAATTTCATCGCCTTCCTCCAAATCAACGCGAGGTATCTCGCTGTCCGCGGAGTCCTGGCGCTTCCTCTTCCCGCCCTCGCGCATTCTCTTGGTATCTGAGATGCCCTTCTTGACCCGGGAAATGCGCTTGATCTCGTTTAAAAATTTATCGAGGCAAGTTTGCGTTGATGTTCGTACGTCTGCATTCGGGTCGCCCAAGAACCTGAGCAGTCCACTCAAGAAGTCAGGAAGATACGTCACAAGCTCCAGATCTGGGATCGAGTCCAGCAACGTGAGCCATCCGACCAGGAAATTCCGTGTGAATGGGTTGATGACCCAAATGCGCTCTCTTAACAGCGGGATGAACCTCGGGAGGGAAAAAGCTGTCGGGAACTGAGAGCTCGGGTCGTCAAAGTCCGACTTGTCATCGCCGTTGAAATCGGATGATGATTCCAGAACAGACACGTACGATGCTGCCGATTCGGACACAATATCCTTGACGAGACGGTCCAGAAGTTCAGCGCCATTCTTCACCGACAGCTCGGAATCTGCACCAAGCTAGAAGAACGCTCGATCAGTCAAGACGCACTGCGGTAGGGAGGGGACCTTTACCTTGCAGAGCTGGTCAAATATGCTGTTGAAGTACACGAGAATCTCCCCCTTGGCAACCTTTGCGATGTTGTACATGGCCTCGCACGCATAATAGCGAACCCGGGCATCCTGGTCGGTAAAGCAAGCCAACACTGGCGGCACGATCTTGGCCAAGTATCGGGGCAGTTCCTAGGTCAGGTGAGCGATGCCATCTCAACATAGAGTCGGCACAGCATCCATACCTGTCCCAATGCAATGGCCGCGGCCGCAAGTCCTATGAGTCCACCATTGCGTGCATGGGGCTGATGGACAGCATATGCATAATCGTTACAGAGCTGATCAAGGATATCAGACACCCGTTGGTGATCTCCAGCACTGCTGTGTTCTCGAATGATCCTTTCCAACCTGACAAAGATCAGTAAGAAGCCCCAACAAGCCACATATCCTAGTTCCCCGAGACGACATACTCGAGGGCCCCGACTTTGCGTTTATCGTAGAGCTTGTCATTCAGCGCGCGCTGGATGTTAGGGTCCATGGCGATCTCTCTCACTGGCGCATAGTGGTAGCCGGCCCTCTGCTGCTTGGAAACTCAACCGAGAATGTTGCGTAAGGCAAGTCTCAATAGTCACGAGCGTTTACAGTGCTGGCACGCAATTGAATCTGCGTACGAGACATGTGATGAGGGAAGGTTGAAGAGCGTTGATCGGGCGAGCTACGTCAATGGCCTGCGACGGACGTCAAGGTCGCTGTCGATACGGAATCCCGTTACTGGTCGAAGCCGACTGTCGTCTCCACTTATCTCGTGCCTTGCCCGGGAGTTGAAGTTTACCCATGTCCAGGAGTAAACCCCATTCATCAGCTTTGAGTTCTACAATTTCTTGTCTTGATCAAGTGGTAGAAACGCAAGGGGCTAGTACATATAGTGGCTCGAGGCCTGTTTGATTTGCACATCACGGAAACGACACGCATAAATGATTGCACTGGCTTCATGCGGGCTGATGGGAACAAAACAGGCTCGGTTCAATTCATTCATTATCAGCAACTATCCGAGTCCAATACCAGACTGTCCTGCTCGCTAAGGCTCAGTGACCATGTCCGAAAGGATCTCCACTCTCAATCATAGACTTCTGACACTTTGCGAGAATGGCAGCCTGCCTCGACACTTCAGCTAGCGTGCCAATGACCTGCTTGTTGCAATCAGCAAATCCATACAGAGCGTAAGGAATGCCAACGTCATTGCAGAATTCCTGCACCATGCTTTGAGTTTGACGCAGGTTGTGTCGTGGTATACGGGGAAACAGATGGTGGATGACCTGGAACTGCAGCCCGCCGTGGAGGAAGTCGAGCCAGGGAGGACAGTCTACGTCCATGGTGGTCCGTAGCATCTTCTGCGGGAATGATTCTTGTGGCCCGAGATCAGCCGTGCTCATAGCGAAATGGGACTGCACGATTTGTACGTGAACGGGCGAGGCAGCCATGTTGCTGACCAAGACGTAAGCTAGCCGGGTCCAGTTGTTTGGCAGTGTCTTGTAGATGAGCAGGTAACCGTACCAAGTCCAGAAGAAGACCTGCCCGACCAGCTCCAGCCACCTGTGCCATGCAGCTTGCCCCTTTGTCGGTCCACGCCCGGCCAGGAGGTAGTCCAAGGACAAGAAAGTCAGGTTGAATCGCGCCAGACTCAGTATGGGATAGTACAGGTACGCTTGAATCTTGATGAGGACTTTGGCGAATGCATCGTACTCCATCACCCGGTTGTAGTATGTCGAGGTGAGACTCCCAAAGAAACGATGGCTGATGGCGAAAAGCGGCAAATGCTCAATATCCGGATCATGTTCCGGCGAGTTGGTGACAATGTGATGTACATTGTGGCTTCGTTTCCACCATCCCATTGAGAGGCCGCCAATGAAGTCTGCAATGATGATCCCAATCACCGAGTCGACGTGGTAATGATGTGTGATGCCCATGTGTCCAGCGTCGTGGGCCGTAAAGACAAGCTGGTGCCACGTGAACCCAAGTGCCAGAGCCGAGCATATGTACCAGCCGTGTCGTAGGAACAGCATAGACGCGGTGAAAAGTAACAGGTAGCGAGTACCTTCACGTGCGTAGGCCCAGTAGTTGCACTGGTACAATCCTGCGTCACGCACCCGCTGGTGGAGCTGTCGATATTTGGCAATGATCTCGCTCTGGGTCGCATCATCCTGAGACGGGTACTTGTCGAGATCGAGGGTGATTTGCTCCCTCGTTAGTGTGTCGAGAAAGGTCAGGCCATCAA